AAAAAAAAAAGAAGAAGAAGAAAGTATTTGTATTTTATTTTGTATTTTATTTTGTTAAAATTCTGTGTCGGCTGAATATCAGCCATATGTAGAAAGAAATAATTTTATTTTTGTCGTGTTGCGTCGGCTATAAAAAGCCAAATTGTATAAAAGTCGTAAAGTAAATAGTTTGTCGGCCAATCATGTAAAAAGTTTGTCGGCCAATTATATAAAGTAGTAATAGTAAGTATTTTGTTTTCTTGTGTCGGCCGAATAAAGAGAGGCCATGTGTAAAGTATGTGTCGGCTACTTTTGGCCAAAAGTTTGTAAATTTTGTGTATAAATAGAGGAGCTCTCCTCATAAATAAAATACACCTTCATCCTTACATCTCTCATCTTTCTGAATAATCTCTTTACGCTTCCATCCCCTCCATTGGTATTTTTTTTTTTTTTTTTTTTTTTTTTTTTTGCAGATTACTTCATGATCATTTCTTATCCCAATTTTTCTGTTTTCTTTGGGGTGGTGGTGCAAGCTTTGGTGTACTGGGGTCTAATTTTTTGTTGAAGATTTTCATTTTGACACTGTATCATTGGTGCTTTTGCAGGTTGCTGAGATAATTAAGGATGACTTGTGGCCGCACCCGCTCACGTATTTTAACAATGTTAGTCCCATTCAAGCTTCCTTGTTTTCTTTAATCAAAATTTAGTTGTAAAAGATGTTTGTTGCCTAACACCATCTAAGGACTAAGCATTACTATACATACCGCAGGAGCCTGATGAAGAAACTTTCGATGGGGACCAGGTAAAGATGCATTAACTAGTTCTTAAGTGTCATATATATATATATATATATATATATATATATATATATATATATCATGGATGAGTGCATGAATACTAGTTTACTGTGACTATAATGCGTGTTTCTCTCTGGGTTTACATTATTTTCAGTATATTCTTTCCTTATTAAGCTATAGCATTATATCTTCAATTAAGTTGTCTGGCATTTGTTGTCAATAATGTCGAATAATCTTCCTAAGTGATGGATCAACTTCTTAATGTAGTCCTCCGAAGGTCAAAAGATCATAATGGTCATTGAAGGTGGGAGAAAACTGCGGACTCGAGTGGAACTTGAGGTAGTAATTACCTTATCACTAAAATTCATGTGTTTCGTTAAGGTTGCTACCTTGGGTGGGTTAATTGTTGAGTAAGCTTTTTGTTAAGATGGTAATAGTTTGAGGGCCTAGTCTTTATTAATGTGGGAGTTGGGTCAATCTTTCGTTGAAGTTGAAAAAACCAGTAGTTAAATCTCAAAAAAAAAAAAATGGAAGTTAAAGTTGTGTTTGGACATGAACTTGGCTTGAAAATAACGCAAAAATTTGTGAGTGAATCATTATTTTGTGTGAAATATTCCCAACCTAGTTTTCCAAATTTCATGCTAAGTTGAAAGAATGGACCAAATTTTGATAGCCAAAGAATAATCTACAAATATTATTGCAAATATTTTAAATAAAATATATGAATAAATTGGTGGCTTAAGCGTACTTTTGGGAAAAACGTATTTGTTAGGTATAACTTCCTTAATCCTTTTCTTTCTCCCGACATACTGCGTCAATTATCTAGAAGTTTTTTTTTGATCTTTTCAAGAATTTTCTTCGTTTTATTTCATCTTCAATAGAAAAGCATAAATTCTAAGAATTGTGTGGTTACTTTACGGAGACTTCAAAATCTTAGATATGCAACTGCCTACATCTTTTTTATGATGGTTCCTTTTTTATGGTTTAAGGTACATGTTTTAGATTATTTGTGAGCAGTTTTCATCTTGGGTTGTGAGCATAACTTAGAAGAATCATTTAACCATGCTTACCACATGACCCACCATGTTTGTGGGGAGTATTTTTGTGAATACATAGTTTTTTATTTTATTAAAGAATAGCTACTGCAAAAGATATTGTTGCTGAGCTCAACTAAGGGTTGAAGCTCAACGGCGACATTTATGAAATTTGGAGCTTGTAGTCCAGTACGTGCTTAAAGAGCAAGAGGCTTTGGAAGCCATTGAAGAAGTCATGAATGAGCCTAAGGATGTTCATGGTTCAACATTTGCATGACTGTGTCACTTAAGATGCTTGGAAGAAAATTAATACCACTAACCTTGGATGATGACATCCTAATGGTGTTAAAGGAGCACAAAAGAGTTATATATCTTTGGAGTGCTTTGAAGAATATGTTTGGTACTTATTCTAGTCTTAACGATTAACTTAGATTCACATAAGAAATGGCTAGAACATTGAATGAAAACACATTTGAAGCAATAACAAATATGATCATGGAGTGGAAAAATGCTGGTCATGCTGACTGATGAACAATAGATCCAAACAATCATATGTCTTTTCTAGTTCATGAGACCATATGAAAATTAGAAAATGCATTTGACCCACAATGGATGAATAACAACTTTAGAACATGTCCTGAGGCATCTTGAGTTGGAGAACAAATGCCTTGAAGCTGCAAAACCAATATCTGAGTTGCACTTGGCTACAAGGCCCTCAACCTGCCAACAGAGCAATGACCTAACTAGGCAAGAATAAACAGCCTAGATGTGTCAAATTTGCGAAAATGATTTTCTACAATTATGTAAGAAGGGTCAATATTCCAAAAATTGCTTTGATACCAAAGGACGATTACACATTAATTTAAACTAATTAGATAGCATGTAATTGTAAAAGGACTTACATGTTCTATGTATAGCAGAACTGTGGAAGCGAAAAACTTGAACGAACCTTGACACTAACTAGTAATGGTTGTCACGATGTGTTGTAGCAACCCTAGATGCTATTGTGAGAGAAAAAAAAGTGTACTTAGAGTTTTATCTTTCGTGTGTCTTCTAGTTGTACACAATAGGTGTACTTATATTGGAAGCTATTATTGTCAGAATAATTATCAATATTTTAGTATTTATCCTTATGGGATTTCCATCAATACTTAGTAGAATTTCATTGGATCTGTTATTGTTGTATTGAATTATTCCTAATGGGTTTTTTCAACACCACTGATAGTGGGTGCGGGGATTCGCCTAAAATAATCAAAATATATAAAAATAGAGTTATCAAACTTAAATTATGAGATATTATATGGAGATTCTTGGAAGGAAATTAAAGGGAAAGGAGTGACATAAATTTCTATATAAAAGGTATTCTATTTTCTTTAATCTCACTTTAGCTTTTGTATTGATTACAGTAACAGAAATCATTAGAATGGTCCAGACTTTCCCATGAATTTTGGTCAAAGTACCCAAAATTGGTTGACCAAATCGGACACATATCTCACACTCACACCACACCCATGTTGTGTTGACATGAGTGCAACACCAAATGTGAAGGGTCTGAGCAACTAAGCTTATGGGTTAACTCTTATTTTAAATAGTTAGGCTAAGAGGTTCAAACTACAATATTTTATAAGCTGATGAAATAAGAATGAACTGCTATGAGATCTCCAAAATATTTTGAATGTCTGAAAGTTTGTGGGAATATTTCTTTTCTGAGATGGAAGTTACAAGAATATTTTGATTGTCGAAAAAAATTACTAGAATATTAAAATGACATCGAATATCTTATGCTTGAATTGATTTACAAAATTTTGAAAATGTGGTAAAACAACAACAAACCAAGTGAAATGCCACAACTAGGGTCTAGGAGGGTGGTGAATAAGCAACCTCTCTACCCCTACCTTGTGAAGGGCAGAAATTTGTTTTCGATAGACCCTCAGCTCAAGTAAACATATCAAAATAGAAAAAGAGAGAAGGGAAAATGCTCAAATATGCCATTAAACTTTCAGAATAGGCTCATTTATGCCATTAGTTAAAAGTTTGACTCATTTATGTCATTATTGTTAAAGAAAAAGACTCATTCATACCATTATTTTTTAACAATGGTTTTGCAAGATCATTTTTGACACGTGGCCAATTATAATTCTGCCACGTCATCAATTTTTTTAATTATTTTTTTTAAAGAAATTAATTTGATTTTTTTCTGAATTTTGATTTTTTTATTTAAAAAATTGATGATGTGGCCAATTATAATTCAGCCACATCATCAATTTTTTAAATAAAAAATTAATAAAAAAATTTAATTCAATTTTTTTTCCACAATTAGATTTTTTTTATATAAAAAATTGATGAGTGGCCGAATTATAATTGGCCACGTGTCAAAAATGGTTTTGCAAAACCACAATTAAAAAATAATGGCATGAATGAGCTTTTTCTCGAACGATTATGGCATAGATGAGCCAAACTTTTAACGGATGACATAAATGAGTCTTTATTAAAAGTTCGATGACATGTTTGAGCCTAATCTGAAGAGAAATAAATTAGAGGACTCCATGTTAAAATGATGGGGAAAAATATAAATGTGGTAATGTGTGTTGAAAACATTAATGTAGAGAAACTTCGCTGGAAACTAAAAGTGAATCCCTATGATTTTCACAAAATTAAAAAATATTTCGACACAAAATTTAATATACATATCAATTTTAATTTTAATTTTGATTAGTTCCACCTAATATTATAATTGATATATAGTTATAAAGAGTTAAGCGTAATCATTGTTTATTAATTTTCATATATTAAATAGATATCACAATAACTCATAAAAAAAGAAATAACCAAAATGAGGTAATACTAATAATAGTACCTAAAGATGTTTCTAGAACTATTTAATTTTCTTGTTATCATTCTTCGTAGATTTTTGCTTGCATGAGTTACCTTTTTACCTTTGATCACCATACATCTCATATATAGAAAGATGTTTAATAAATTATTTATTCTTGATAGATTTTTATTAGAATGAAATTACATTTTTATTCTTGATCATCTTTAATATAAATATATCATCCTATTTATTTTTATTTGTAAAGTTACTTTTAACATCTTTTTTTTTAATTTCAATATAATATATATTATTAATCTTATCACGCTAATTTATTTTCAAATATATTGATTAGAATCAAAATAATAATTAATTCGTGATATTTTTATATAAAAAGTAGGTGTTTTAATAAGCATAATGAATAGAATAAATATTAACAATTAAATTAAAGTAATAGTAAAATAGAGCAATTTAAAATAGATACCACAATAACTCACAATAGAAATAAAAAGGAAATGAGGTAACAAAAAAATAAGTTATTGGTAATAATAATTACTTAAGATGTTTATAGAACTATTTAATTTTTTTGTTATCATTCTTGGTAGATTGTTGTAAGCGTGAAATTATATTTTTGCCCTTGATCATTGTTCATTTCATATATAGAAAGATAATTCTAGAATTATCTATTATCTTTCTTCATAGATTTTTGTTAGTGTAAAATTACATTTTTGCCCTTGGTAGATTTTTGTTGGCGTGAAATTATATTTTTGCCCTTGATCGTCATTCATTTAATGTATAGAAAGATAATTCTAGAATTATTTATTATCTTTATTCATAGATTTTTGTTAGTGGGAAATTACATTTTTGCCCTTGGTAGATTTTTGTGAGCGTGAAATTATATTTTTGCCCTTGATCATTATTCATTTCATATATAGAAAGATTATTCTAGAATTATTTATTATCTTTCTTCATTGATTTTTGTTAGTGTGAAATTATATTTTTTCCCTTGGTCGTCCTCCACTTTACTCTTATATATATATATATATATTCGCGCAGTGGTGAACTATGTCAATATTCTACTTTTGAATATTTTATAATAGAAGTGTTTTTGAGTGGGTATGGCCTACGATAAATTGTCAGAATATTTTAACCAAATATGAAATAAAATATTTTTTAAATCTTAGAACCAAAAAGATTTGATTCTAATTGTATGCATTTTGTTATTTATTCTTTATTTAATTATGGAGAAAAGGTCTGATATACCCTTCAACTTTGTCATTTAGAGCTGATTTACCCCTTGTTATGAGAGTGACTCATATATACCCCTACTTGTAAACAAATGACTCACATATACATACTCTTTTCCTCTAACGGTAATGAAAAAAAAATTTTAATCTAAATTTTTATTATTTTTTTTCTAAAAAATATAATTCATATGTGTAGATTTAATCCTCATCAAACATATTGTTTTTTACTTTTTTTTTGTTTCATTGACTAATTTATAATTATTATTTTGATAATCAAATTTATTTATGTTTCACTAATATTTTTGTAAAACTTATTGTAGATGACCAAATTTTTTCTTGAAATACGAAATTAAATTACAATACACAAAAAAAATAGTTTAAATTTTTTTTCTTTAAACTAAGGAATGACAGAAAAAAACAAAATAAGGATAAGAAACTCAAATAATTATAATAAAAGAAGTCAAAAAATAATTTATGCATGAAAAAAATTAAAATATACATTGAACTTTGACAGAAGAATCATATATATCCCTAAATAATTTTTTTTTAAAATTAGAAGTAATAAATATAAATTTAAAACTAATTTTTTATGTTCCATTAAATGAAGGGTATATGTGAGCCATTTTGTAACGGCAGCTGTATATGTGAGCCGTTTGTATAACGGTAAGGGCTTTTATATATGAGCCACTTTTATAACGAGGGGTATATCAGCTCTAAATGACAAAGTTGAGGGGTATATCAGACCCTTTTCCCTTTAATTATAGTAATCATCACCAGTCTTTACAAAAGATATGAAATTGTTTCGTTGTCTATATTTGTATTTTCAAGAAGTGTAAAAATATTTTATTCATTAATTGCGAGATATTTCTCCTACTCAAACCTCTACATATATAATCTAAATATTTTACATGTTATATAATTAGTTGTGTACTTGATAAGTTAATTGAAATTTAAAAACACATCTCTTGGAGTTCAATGGAATAACTTATGCCGCTCAAATAATTTGGATTAAATGATGTTTTAGCAAGTCCGTCATTCAAAATCATTTGCAGTCGATGACACTACTTTGATAGCCAAAAGACATATTTTTTTGTTTATTTTTCGATCAATATGGTTAAAAAATTTATTTGCGACTTTTAAGCTAATGTTTATAAGGAGTTAATTATTTCTTTAATATTTGATTAATCTGGATTCATCCTACTTTCAGGGGTAGCTCATTGACTCCAATCCAACATTTGAACCCTAAACTTTTGATTAAGGTTGAGTAAAATATTAACCATCCGGTATTTCTTTAATTTTTGCATGTCATAATTGAATGTCTCCATAAGATAGAAAGTTGAATAACTAAGACTCCAAGGTAACGTGGAACCACCATAACTTCTGAACATTCAAAAGTCCCTTCTTGGACATCCCATGGATCTTTTAACCTCTGAAAACTCTATAAAGATCAAAGTCATTTATTTTACAACTTTATGAATTCTATTCTACATTACAACAATAGTCTAATGATTACATCAAACTTTTGATTAACATATCTTTACTTCAACATAATGATTAAAAGAATAAAAATAAACAATAAAGTTTAAAACCTGTACTCAAAATAACAATTAATAACATAAACATAAATTAATGATCGTAAAAAACATACCAGGATCTGTAACAATAGAATGAAATAGATAGGAAAAAATCGAGTCCACTGTATGCTTGTCCCCTTAAGAAAGCCATTCTCCTCTAGTACCTGCTTATAAAGAAAGAGATATTTTCAAGATAGAGTGATTCTATTTACCAGTGTATTGATACCAAAACAATGGTGTCAGTGAGTCACTTTACAGGAGCAAAGTACATGAATATTTAATTATGTAGAAGAAGTTCAGAATTTTCATTGTTTTAAAATGAGACGAAAACTCTTTGTTTATAGATAATAAAAGGTAGTGTGAATAAATTCTTTTTGTGCCTTATCGAAAAAGTCACAACCTTTTATCAAAGCCACAACTTTTCACAAAAGTCGCAACTTTTCATAAAAGTCGCAACTCTTCATAAAAGTCGCTACTTTTCATAAAATCGCAACTTTTCGTAAAAGTCAAAACTTTTCAGTAAAGAAAAGGCTAATTTTGGAAATAAATAAATAAATTAAAAGGAAATCCTGGTTTGTGGTGGCGCAACGGAGGCGGGTCTAGGGTTCTCTTTTATATAGATATATGGATATGTACTAGCCATTTGTTTCATAAGTAAATTAAATTTATAATATGTATTATTACTTTTAAAACTGTTTAATCTATAACGATTATTCTCGCTAATATAATTTTTTTTATTTCAAATCAATTTTTAATTTACCATTTAGATTCACTAAATTCATTATTTTTTATCAAACTTATTACTATTTCATTCAAATCAATGTTTAATAAAATTTGTACTAACCATGGTAACATTTATTGAAAAAATAATTTTCTTGGCTACTAACAACTAGAATGCCACAACTTATGTTCAATTTATATTTTATTGAATTTAGATTTGATCTATAATTGTTGTATTTTCTTTAGAATACTTTTGTGATAGTGTATTATTTGATCTATAAACTTTTGGTTATTTTGTAAGATTGTATAAAGAATTGAGCCAATTTTAATAGTTTTACAACTTATGGGGTTCATGTTTATGAAAAACATACAATATAAGAATTCCAAATTGCATGACAAAACAAAATTTCAACTAGATTTAATGGTTTCATATCATGATTTGGAATCATGATTTCATATCGCATGACCAAACTGGCCCTAAGATCAATAACATATTTGAATCTGAGTATTAAAATGTGCAATTAGATTTAGGTGTATGAATCTTAATCGACATTGGAGTATAAAGATGTTGTATCATGATAAGAATACTAAATAATTAAGACTTTTGTTTTCTCAATATTTTAATATATACTCCCTCTGTTTCACAAAGAATGACCTGATTTGACTTGACAAGAAGTTTAAGTAAATAAAGAAGACTTTTGAATCTTGTGGTCCTAAATTAAAGTTACGTCAAATGTACAAAATTGTCTTTTAA